ACACCGTGCTCTGTTTTCCTAAAACCGCCAGGTGGTGGCAGCACGGGTGCAAGGACCCTTTTCATCGCTGCTTGCAGCTTTAATTTGAATTTGAACTGCAGTACCTATTTATACCACTAGCTGTCCTTCTTACATTCTTATGTAGGTGTTCCGAGAAATGCTAACGTTAGCTTGCTAGCTTTGAAAGCATACGGTGGTCCCAACTTCCCGGCAGATAGGGGACAGAAAGCTCTCAGATTTCATTAAATAGATCTTTATTTGTATTCTGAAGATGAACAAATGTTTTTTTGGGCTTGGATCGACACAAGGGTGAGTAATTAATGGCAAAATGTGCATTTTTGGGTGAACTAAATTGCATTAATTGCATTAATTTAAATTCATTTAAAAGCGATGATAACAAAGGGTTAAATGCGGTGTAAAAATCCCTTTTAAATGGATGATAGTGTCTCCTAACAGTGCTCAGCTCAGACCGCAGTGGAGGAAAGTGAGAAGATCTTTACTGAGCTGATCCACTTGATTGAGAGAAGTCGCTCTGAAGTGACACGGCTGATAAAAGATCAGGAAAAGGCTGCAGAGAGTAAAGCTGAAGAATTGTTGAAGCAACTACAGCAGAAGATCGCTGATCTGAGAGGGACAGAAGCTGAGCTAGAGCAGCTTTCACTTTCAGAAGACATCCAGTTCCTCCAGGTAACAAGAGCTCTGATAAATGGGACAGTGGTCTTTAATAATGTCTTGTAATTACACAAGCTTTTGCTGATAAAAAAATGTAATATAAGGAATTTAGTGAGAACTTCCACTTTTCATGTGAAATTACCCTGTTGTTTGTGTGTCTGTAGAGTTTCCAGTCTCTATCCTGCCTATGGACTCACCCAACACCATCATTGTTAGTTCTTTCCGTTCCTTTGATAATGTACAAAAATCTGTCTCTCATCTGAGAAAGAAACTTGAGGATTTCTGCCAAGAGGAGATAACAGTGATATCTGGTAGAGGTAAAGTACTGGATGATGTATTCAGTCTCAGAAATAGGTTAAAGGACAAGTTCGGTATTTTACAATTAAAGCCCTGTTTTAAGATCGTCCCTGATGAAATAGAATAGTTAAGATTGTTTTTTAGACAGATGCTGCTGTCACGAGAATTTTTGGATTCTGTGTTAGCACCCCCCCATCTTTAGAATGGTAGCATAGGTGCACTCGAACAATCATTCATAAAAACGCATACAACTTTAGTTTACAAAGACGTGAAACTCACCGAGTGGTCTGGGGTGTTCACTGATATGCTCACACAAAAATCGCTGCAAAAGATGCTTTCCAACAGGTTTTATCGTAGTTTTTGTCCGACTTCATTTTCTTTCTGTTTTCGGTCGAAGTCCCCGGTAGTAAATTGTCGAGTTCACGTGCGCTATCATTGGTAACTAGATAACTAAGGATCGCGCACGCAAACTCGAGGATAATTGACTACTGTGGACTTCGACCCGTCTATGAGACACACCGAAGCAGTTTGTTACCTATGGATCCAACATGGCAGCAGATGCGAAGTTACCTTTCGATGCAGCCTTACGGCCTTAATTTTCACACATAGGTTTCACACCGCAAGCATGATCGGCACTTGAGCAGCGCGTTAGCGTAACTACATCGTCACTCCAGCTACAGACGCGCGAGAGTATTCAAAGCTACATAAGCGAGCAATTATTTAAAAAGACAACTATACATTTGTGTTTAGAAGTTGGTCACATTGATAGTCTTGAAAATTTGTTATAGGGAGTTGTAGAACATTCGCATATAAATGTTAAACAACAAAACATCAGAGAAAATGGCTCCAAGCTATTAGTTTCAGTGAGTCATACTTTCGATATGTTTAGGCTGCAACTCCCTCTCCCTGGATAAAAAACAAAACACACAAATAAACCACACACTCGGGTTTGATTTGGGTTGTGCTAGCCTATGTAGCTGTCTGTGTGTTACATAAACTAAAATAACGTTTATATATAATATTTTCTGGCTAGTTTACTTTATATATATATATATATATATATATATATATTATATATATGAAGAGTTCAGATGCAAAAGCCTCTAAGTGCCATTTGAAATTTTCTTCTAGAATGATCATTTTTATCAAGCTTGTATATTTAAGTTCAGTAATTTCACTTAAATGGCAATGATAATTACCTATTAATTGTTATTTAAGTGAAGTTACTGAACTTAAATATACAAGCTTGATAAAAATCATCATTAAAGAAGAAAATTTCAAATGGCATTTAGAGGCTTTTGCATCTGAACTCTTCATATATATATACATACAGTATACCCAAACTGAATAATTAAAAACAAGTTTTTACCGGCGCTCACGTATGAGGTGTGAAACGGCCGTTAGACACACGCCATCAAGTACACATACAGTAAATCATTGAAACGAGTGGCTATGAGCTACGTACAGGCGCATTTGATACACATTCGTAGGACCCAATAAACAGCTCTGGGCATTCGTAAACTACGCCTCAAATACAAGAAAATGAACATGTGACCCAGACCACGTTTCAATGAGCTATTATACTGGCTATTATAATACACTAATATCTACTGTTTTCTGTTTTTTATAGTGAATTGCGCCCATATCTTCACTGTTCCTGAACCCAAGACCAGGGAAGAGTTCCTCCAGTGTAAGTCAAGATGAAAATATACAAACACAGAAAGATAGATATACCAGTGCCTCAAAAAATGTCTGGTCTTATAAGCTTTTGAACAATAGAAAAATTCATGCTAAATATAAAAATTAAATGCAACTAACCATATTGTAATCATCATATGGAGGCCAAAAAAGGGACTTGAACTTGAAAGGGAACTAGAGGGCGCTATTGGGGAATGTCTCCAGCATTACCGGTGTCTGAAACATGACATTCTGCACATTTACATATTATCATACTCATATCATTTAGCATAATTGAGGAAATTCATGCCAACAATTACCACTGTCATTTTTGTTTTTTATAATTGATTGAACAGATGGGCTATTATTTATACTTAACAACTAATGGCAACTCTGGCAAATAATACACACACATTCATTCTGACATGATCAATATCGGAGAGACAGAATGGACAACCTTTTTCCCTAAAGCATCTTATTTTTCTACTTTTATTAGATCGCAGTCACTTGAATCTGGATCCAAACACAGTGAATAAAAAGCTCCGCCTGTCTGAGGGGAACAGAATGGCTACTTACACTAAGATATCCAAGCAGTATCCTGATCATCCAGACAGATTTGATCATTGTGAGCAGGTTTTGTGTAGAGAGAGTGTGTGTGGACGTTGTTACTGGGAGGTTGAGTGGAGCAGTAGTGTGGCTGTATCAGTGGCATATAAGAGCATTAGCAGGAAAGGAGCAGTTGATGAATGTTTGTTTGGACGCAATGGTCAGTCCTGGAAACTCTCAGGTTGCTATAGTTGTTCATTCTCGCACAATAACAGAGAGACCAAACTGCCTCAGGTGTCCAGCTCCCGTATAGGAGTGTATGTGGATCACAGTGCAGGAACTCTGTCCTTCTACAATGTCTCTGACAAAATGACCCTCATTCACAGAGAACAGACCACATTCACTGAGCCTCTCTATCCCGGGTTCACGGGTACTAATGGATCATCAGTGAAACTGTGTGATCTAGAAATATCAGGGGTGTAAAAGATATGGAGATATGATAGTTGGGTTAAAGCACAGGTACTTTGTTTTACTCAAAAGACAAAGCATCTAACCAAAAATTGTACAAAAAAAAAAAAAAAAAATTTTTTTTAAAGCAGGCCTATCTACATTTATTTAAACTTATAAGCCAAGAAATACTCGTTTGTCACTTTATTTTCAATTTTCGAGTATTTTCAACAGTGATTTGAACGGTTGTGTTAAAGTTACTGTCTTAATAATAAGAATTCTAATATAATTATTCTAATATAAGAATTCTAAATTCTTTTGAGTTCAAAACTAGAATATAATCATTACTCCTTTTGTTTAAATTTAAATTTTTTGAAAAATTACAATATTTTTATGTTGGGCAACTCAGTTTTATTCAGTGGTTGAGTGGATTTCCTTTTCTTGCAGGATTAACTTGTAAATGCTTAGGTAAATGTCTCCAAAGTAAGTGTGTCATAAATGTATGCCCATAATCTCATAGTAACAAGGTGAATTAATCAAGAAATTCAGATTTGCTTTTACCTATTAACAGAATGATTTGCTGATTTATACAAATGAAGAATCAATTATATTGTAGAAAAATGATTTAATGAATCATTTCACATTTTCCGGGCATCCATTCTACAAAATCTGTTACACCCTTTTTATCATGAGGATTCTCTGTGATTGGTCAAAGATCCTCCCGGCCATGATTAAAGCATTTTCAAAGGCATCATCTGGAGTCTGTCTGGTTAGTGAAACGCTAGAGATCTTATTCCCAAATGATATTGTTCGTAAGAGGCGAGACGTCGTCCGACTCAGGGTCTCTTAGACATCCAGTCCTCGGTTATGATGCTTCTCCAGCATTTTATGCTTCAGAATAATAATATTTCTAGTCTTAGGCATCTGGGTTTTCCAAAAGTGGTCAGAGCTTTTGCAATATGTCACATGTTACATAATTTCATTACTAGCCACCAGATGGAGGCATTACTTGGTATCTAAATGCCAAACAATATTTTTCCAATATGAGAACAAAGTTAGAGAGTAACACACAGATAGATTTTAAGAGAAATAGTTAAACTAACTGACCTTTAAAAATAAATTAAAAGCCTGATGGCAAAAATCTCAGTTTATTATTGAATATTTTTAAGCAATTTACATGAAACTATATGTGCTATGTCAATTTAGTATAAATAGCTAAAAGCCTTTATTAAGAAAAACGAAGATAATCTGTTATAAGGGAAACAAATATAACGTAAACCTAATAAACTATAAGTAATATGTGATAATATGTATTCCATTGAGCATGAATATGTTTCAATACATTTCATAAGTCTGAGAAATCAGATGCAACCTACAAAAATAAGTTTATTTGTCATTATACTGTACAATATTTTAAAAGAAAAAATAGGCTGCAATCTCCACCTTCATATCATCACATACACTGACTGATTCACCAGCAGTTACACACTGGAATAAAGACACGAGCTTGAAGATATACAACAGCAGTGACAGACAAAGCATGATGGCAGACACAACAAGACAGGAAATGTATGAATGCATGTTCTTTAGGTGGAGCAAATAGTTAACTAATAAAAAAACAAACACACTTTTATAAAGTGCATATGAGGCTAGTCTTGTCTCTGGTTCACACTACAATTGATACATCACATTTATAGAGCCACTACTACACAAACACTACGTTGAAACCTGTCTTGAAGGACCGGTTCATCATTTAATGATTTATTTTCTCGCCCTCATGTCGTTTCAAACCTGTTTAATTGCCTTTGTTGCGTGAAAACCAAAAGGAGACGTTGAGCTGAATGTTCACTCTGCTCACTTCCAGTTTTTGGGTGAACTATTTCTTTCATGTCAAATTTTAGAGTGTTAATCTATAAAATAAGTATATTTTTACACTTAAGAGGCTCTGAGAAGTAAAAATAACTACAATAGGGCCTTGGCCTCAGGTGAAGAAATCCTTGGATATGGCCTCTACGAAGTTTGGGGCAGACATTAAGATACCAATGGTGCAGAGAATGGTGAACAGGGAAAAGGCCATGAGACAAAGACGGTCAATGACAGAAGCTGCAAACTTCCACTCGTTACACAAAGTCTCTTCCTCGTCTTGGTCCCGGAAGCGTTTGGCGATGTACCGAACCTCATCCAAGATTTTGGAGAGTTCAGTTTCGCTAGGGCCGCTGCTAACAGAAGACGCCGGAGCTCCAGGGAGAAGCACATCTTCCTCTCCCGAGGCGACGAGTCGACTGCAGATCACCCCTGAATCCGGGGAAGTGGCGTAGTGAAGAGTGTCCATCCCACGGAAGCCGATGTACAGCAGGTTTCCATTGGTGGACTGTGTGGCTCCAGTGCTGATGTTCAGATCCACGCTGGAGACGCTGCTGCGCGGATGCTTATTGTGACAAGCTGAGCGAACTCTGTCCTCGCCAGGCCTCTTCATCCGCAGGAACCATGCGCACCAGTTCAACAGCACCACACGGGTCTAACAGGGAAAATCACCATTGAATATAGGGTTCGTATGGTCATGGAAAACCTGGAAAAGTCATGGGATTTGAATTTAAGCCATATCGGCATGGGTTCGACAACCTATGAAAATATATTAGCTGATTATTTCCGGTTATCTCGCATCTGAATTCTCGTTTTTTATTTTGTTTTTGATAAAATGGAAAATTGAGAAATGAGTAGTTTCTCATTTTCTACTTTCAATTTTAAATCGAAAAATGAATGAACGGTCATGGACCTTTTACACAGTGTCTTCTCTCTCTCTCGCTTTCTCTCTCTATATGAGACGCAAATCAGTAGTGATGTACTCGAGACCGGTCTCCATTCTCGATTTCTGCTTTCTCAGACTCGTCTCGGACTTGTTCCTTCAAAGACTCGGTCTCGACTCGGACTCGACCCCTCAAAGACTCGGTCTCGACTCGGACTCGACCCCTCAAAGACTCGGTCTCGACTCGGACTCGACCCCTCAAAGACTCGGTCTCGACTCGGACTCGACCCTTCAAAGACTCGGTCTTGACTTGGACTCGACCCTTCAAAGACTCGGTCTCGACTCGGACTCGACCCTTCAAAGACTCGGTCTCGACTCAGTCTGGACTCGGACTCGACCCTTCAAAGACTCGGTCTGGACTCGGACTCGACCCTTCAAAGACTCGGTCTCGACTCGGGCTCGACCCTTCAAAGATTTGGTCTCGACTCGGACTCGACCCTTCAAAGACTCGGTCTCGACTCGGACTCGACCCTTCAAAGACTCGGTCTCGACTCAGTCTGGACTCGGACTCGACCCTTCAAAGACTCGGTCTCGACTCGGACTCGACCCTTCAAAGACTCGTCTCGACTCGGACTCGACCCTTCAAAGACTCGTCTCGACCTCGGACTCGACCCTTCAAAGACTCGGTCTGGACTCTGACTCGACCCTTCAAAGCCTCGGTCTCGACTCAGGCTCGACCCTTCAAGGACTCGGGCTTGACTCGGACTCGATCCTTCAAAGACTCGGTCTCGACTCGGACTCGTCTCGACTCGGACTCGATCCTTCAAAGACTCGGGCTTGACTCGGACTCGACCCTTCAAAGACTCGTCTCGACTTGGACTCGATCCTTCAAAGACTCGGTCTCGACTCGGACTCGACCCTTCAAAGACTCGTCTCGACTCGGACTCGACCCTTCAAAGACTCGGTCTCGACTCGGACTCGACCCTTCAAAGACTCGTCTCGACTCGGACTCGTCTCGACTCGGACTCGATCCTTCAAAGACTCGGTCTCGACTCGGACTCGACCCTTCAAAGACTCGGTCTCGACTCAGTCTGGACTCGGACTCGACCCTTCAAAAACTCGGTCTCGACTCGGACTCGACCCTTCAAAGACTCGTCTCGACTCGGACTCGACCCTTCAAAGACTCGTCTCGACCTCGGACTCGACCCTTCAAAGACTCGGTCTGGACTCTGACTCGACCCTTCAAAGCCTCGGTCTCGACTCAGGCTCGACCCTTCAAGGACTCGGGCTTGACTCGGACTCGACCCTTCAAAGACTCGTCTCGACCTCGGACTCGACCCTTCAAAGACTCGGTCTGGACTCTGACTCGACCCTTCAAAGCCTCGGTCTCGACTCAGGCTCGACCCTTCAAGGACTCGGGCTTGACTCGGACTCGACCCTTCAAAGACTCGTCTCGACCTCGGACTCGACCCTTCAAAGACTCGGTCTGGACTCTGACTCGACCCTTCAAAGCCTCGGTCTCGACTCGGACTCGACCCTTCAAAGACTCGGTCTCGACTCGGACTCGTCTCGACTCGGACTCGATCCTTCAAAGACTCGGGCTTGACTCGGACTCGACCCTTCAAAGACTCGTCTCGACTCGGACTCGATCCTTCAAAGACTCGTCTCGACTCGGACTCGACCCTTCAAAGACTCGGTCTCGACTCGGACTCGACCCTTCAAAGACTCGTCTCGACTCGGACTCGTCTCGACTCGGACTCGATCCTTCAAAGACTCGGTCTCGACTCGGACTCGACCCTTCAAAGACTCGGTCTCGACTCAGTCTGGACTCGGACTCGACCCTTCAAAGACTCGGTCTCGACTCGGACTCGACCCTTCAAAGACTCGTCTCGACTCGGACTCGACCCTTCAAAGACTCGTCTCGACCTCGGACTCGACCCTTCAAAGACTCGGTCTGGACTCTGACTCGACCCTTCAAAGCCTCGGTCTCGACTCAGGCTCGACCCTTCAAGGACTCGGGCTTGACTCGGACTCGACCCTTCAAAGACTCGTCTCGACCTCGGACTCGACCCTTCAAAGACTCGGTCTGGACTCTGACTCGACCCTTCAAAGCCTCGGTCTCGACTCGGACTCGACCCTTCAAAGACTCGTCTCGACTCGGACTCGATCCTTCAAAGACTCGGGCTTGACTCGGACTCGACCCTTCAAAGACTCGTCTCGACTCGGACTCGATCCTTCAAAGACTCGGTCTCGACTCGGACTCGACCCTTCAAAGACTCGTCTCGACTCGGACTCGACCCTTCAAAGACTCGGTCTCGACCCTTCAAAGACTCGTCTCGACTCGGACTCGATCCTTCAAAGACTCGGTCTCGACTCGGACTCGTCTCGACTCGGACTCGATCCTTCAAAGACTCGGGCTTGACTCGGACTCGACCCTTCAAAGACTCGTCTCGACTCGGACTCGATCCTTCAAAGACTCGGTCTCGACTCGGACTCGACCCTTCAAAGACTCGGTCTCGACTCGGACTCGACCCTTCAAAGACTCGGTCTCGACTCGGACTCGACCCTTCAAAGACTCGTCTTGACTTGGACTCGACCCTTCAAAGACTCTGTCTTGACACGGAATCGACTGTATCTGAACACCAACGGACTCGGTCTCGACTCGGACTCGAACCTTCAAAGACTGGGTCTTGACTCGGACTCGACCCCTCAAAGACTCGGTCTCGACTCGGACTCAACCCTTCAAAGACTCGGTCTTGACTCGGACTCGACTGTATGTGAAAACCAACGGACTCGACCTCGACTCGGACTCGACCCTTCAAAGACTCGGTCTGGACTCGGACTCGACCCTTCAAAGACTCGTCTCGACTTGGACTCGACCCTTCAAAGACTCGGTCTCGACTCGGACTTGACCCTTCAAAGACTTGGACTCGACTGCATCTGAAAACCAACGGACTCGGACTCGACCCTTCAAAGACTCTGTCTTGACTCGGACTCGACCCTTCAAAGACTCTGTCTCGACTCGGACTCGACTGTATTTGAAAACCAACAGACTCGATCTCGACTCGGACTCGAACCTTCAAAGACTGGGTCTTGACTCGGACTCGACTGTATTTGAAAACCAACTGACTCGGTCTCGACTCGGACTCGACCCTTCAAAGACTCGGTCTTGACTCGGACTCGACTGTATTTGAAAACCAACGGACTCGACCTCGACTCGGACTCGACCCTTCAAAGACTGGGTCTTGACTCGGACTCGACTGTATTTGAAAACCAATGGACTCGACCTCGACTCGGACTCGACCCTTCAAAGACTCGGTCTCGACTCGGACTCGACTGTATCCGAAAACCAACGGACCCGGACTCGACCCTTCAAAGACTCGATCTTGACCTCGGACTCGGCATAGGCGGTCTCGTCCCCATCACTACACAACAGAACATTGCATCTGCACTACAAATGATACAAGGCTTCCACTTGCGTTTCGGGACATTTGATGGAATTGTCAAATGTGTTGCATTATCAGGAAAGTTTATCATTTGCAAGTCTTTTTAAGTCTAACCAGTTTAAACATTCAATCTATTTTAAGCCATTCGGTATACCCGCATGCTCTCCGAGAGATGGTTTTCTGTGCGCAGTCACAATCAAAGCGTGTGCACATAAAGCTGCCTTGCAAACAGCCCGCGAGTACCAAATTGAGTTATTTTCAAGGCGTACTTTGGTGAGTATATTCGGTTACACTTTCTTTTAAGGTGGCGTAGTTACATTGTACTTACTCAAATAAGTACTGAGTAATGTTAAATAAGTACATGTACTTATAGAGATACGGTTAGGGTTTGGTTTAGAGTTAATCTTTAGTTTACATGGTGACACTTTATAATAAGGTTCCATTGGTTAACGCATTAGTTAACATGAACTAACCATGAACAACACTTCTGTTCAGCATTAGTTAATATTTGTTAATGTTAACATGTACTAATGTATCAATTCACGTTAACAGCAAAATTAGTTAACATGAACTAACCATGTTGTCAGAGTGTCAACATGGGTTTATATGGTAAGAAGAAATAAAAAGCAAGAACAAGAGTCTCACCCATTTAGGCATTTTTCCTCCATCCGGATCATGGTAGTGATACTGTAATACCCAGACTGTGGCTATCACAGACAGTCCAACAATAACCATGGTGGTGGCGAAATATTGAGCTAATCAGAGGATAAAGAGAATTATATTAACAAACTAAAGAAAAACCCATTTAAGATAAAAAAAATAATTACATTTATTTGTATAGTACTTTAGACAATACAGATGTTTTCAAAGCAAACAGGAAAATAACAGTGTTGCAAAATTCATCAATTATGAAACAACTTTAATTTAGTTCTTTAACATTATTTCAATGTTTAAATGTACATAGAGTAACAATTATAAACAAGTACTTAACGTGTGTTACTATGTTAGTTTAGTACCATGACAAAATATTATTAAAACATAATTTAAATTTACTTTAAAGTAAAACATTTTTTTTATAATTAGACATTAAAGTACACTTTTTAAAAACGTGTTAAGAAACAATGTCTAAAGTGTACTCTAAGTACACTTAAGTGGCCGTTTATTTTATTAATATTAAACAATCTGCAAGTCCTGTTTTTAAGATTTGAATTGTATCAATGAACTGGTTTAACAGAGTCATTTGAATCATTGTTTATACGTGTTCCTGAATGTCTTTGTCCAAATTATACAGATACAGCTCCAAACTTACAGTTTTACTCCTAAAAGAAAGTTCTCCTTTACAGTGATTTATAAAGGCTTTGCAAAGTGATTAAACCAAGTTAATTATTATAAGGTATAAAGTTAAAACAACAACAACAACAACAAAGCGATTTGATTACAAATCATTATTACATATTGGACTTACCTATTAAGGGTACAGAGTCGGATGTCGCCGGCATTATCTCTGCTACCAGAAGCATGAAAACTGTCAGTGAGAGCAGGACTGTGATCCCTGACAATAATAAAATATATATATATTACTCCCTCTAACACTGACAGTTTTGATATGAAATCACAACACTGACGACAGATAAAAATGAAGCTTGAGTGAGTGCTCAAAAGAGCTATTTTAACTCTCTGAATAGTTTTAGCATGTGATTATATATTGCGCTTTTATTCGTGCCGCTGCCGCACGAATATGCAAATGTTAATCCGGATCTAGGCATGTGGATCTGGGGAGGTGGAGGATCTGATAGCACTGTTCTTACAGTGAACACTGAACCAGGCTATTGAAATGTTGTGCAATCTATTTAACACAGTCTCATCCCAAAAAGTCATATAACTGACGTTTTGGGACGTATTTTGACCATACGTCAATATCCACCTTTTTAGGGCCCCCTTAAACGTCGGTAGATGGTGATCCCGGGCCGTCATACAACTGACGCTTTACCTTTAACGTCAGTTAGGTGACGGGTTAGGTTTAGGTATGGGGTAGAGTTAGGATCCCATAACCTCATCTACCGACGTTTAAGGGGGCCCTAAAAAGGCGAATATTGATGTATGGTCAAAAGACGTCCCAAAACGTCAGTTATATGACGTCTTGGGATGAGACCGGGTTGATCTATCTCATTGGCTGGAGATTTAGCAGAGGCCAGTCAGCTTGTGCCATGCAGTAATGATGTGATTGCTTGCAGATTGCATGTAAACGACAGATCTAGTGCCATTACCAGTTTCAATGAACTGAATACATGCATGTATACTCATATAAAGGATTATTATTATATTAGAGGATAAAAGTAACAACTAGTCCCATATAGTCTATTACTGTCAAGATGATCCAAGAGAATGCAAAAAAGCAGTCAGGCTTAAGTCATATTTTTTTTTTTACTATAAAATATCATAATTTAGTGTTCTAATCACAGTAGATAAGATAAAATAAGAAGAGCTATAAAAGATGAAACTTAAATGTACTGTCGTAATTGCTGGTATTTAGAGTATTGATCTCAGAGCAATGGCCAACGACTCACTCTGTGCAAAGTAATGCTGGCAGCTTCATCACACTAATACCATTTAGGAATGACAAAATGAAAAAAATAAATCGTGTTCTGCAGTGATTTGAGGTTCAGTCTCTTCCAGAGCGCTCTCTCGCTCACTGTGGCAGGAGCCTTTATAATAAATCCAGCAGGCCTGATAAACAGAGGTCCTTGAGAGCTCTCCGACTGCATCAATCTCACTACACGCCACTTACAGTAGCTTACAGGGATGGTCGCATAAATCGTGTGCCTGTGCCAAAGTGAATTTCATTTGGTGTTGGTTTAAATGTGGAAATTTCACTAAGTCAGCAAAAAAGGAAGGATAAGTCTGCCGATGTGAGAAATAAAGTGATTTTTAAAATGTCAAATGTGACATTTATGCTCTTATGTTTACAGCAGTATAAGAGTGAGCTTCCCGTAATAAACACCTTTAAAGGTGAAGTGCGTTATGTTTTTTAAAAGCTGCTTTTCCACCAAGGAGGAGGAAATTGAAACCATAGAGAACGCAATGAGAACGGTTAGGCCTAATGGTGGAAATGCCACTTAATGTCTTGATGATTTCCCCCGTGGAGTGGAAGGTAGAAACTAGAGATGCGCCTGCATGAAAATGCTGGCCGATACGATAATTCTTTAGATTTGAAAGCCGATGGCTGATAAATCTACAAAAACATAAATCTCACCATTAAAAGCCATGTCTCAAACACACAATTATAATGTTCTTATTATAATTTTATGTAGCCTATATGACAGATTTGCACTGAATATGTTGCACTATACTGTATTTTTACTCTTTTTAAGAGATTCCAATCATATTTCAAGCAATTCAGAACCAAAACCACCGTCTCAGCTGAAGGAAATAATTCATTACTTATGACATATCAGCCAAATTTTCTTATCGGGATGAAAACAGCCGATACCGATATGGAGGCCGATATATCTTGCATCCCTTGTAGAAACTCTGTTTACCTTTCCCCAAAATTCAAGGCAAGGATGTTGAGTGGAAGCTAGAAACTAGAGACAATCATGCGCCTGAATGAAAATTTTGGCCGATACCGATAATTCTTTAGATTTGAAAGCCGATAACCGATATATTAGCTGATAAATCTTATCGGGTTGAAAACAGGTTTCTTATAGGGTTGAAAACAGCCGATACCGATATGGTGGCCGATATATCTTCCATCCCTTGTAGAAACTCTGTGGCAGACGCCAGTATGAAAATTTTGTCTGATACCGATAATTCTTTAGATTTCAAAGCCGATAACCGATATATTAGCTGATAAATCTAAAACCCACATTTTTTGAGAGCTTAATTACAAAAACATAAATCTCACCATAAAAAGCCATGTCTCAAACATACAATTATAATGTTCTTATTATATTTTTATGTAGCCTATATGACAGACTTGCACTGAATATGTTGCACTTTACTGTATTTTTACTCTTTTTAAGAGATTCCAATCATATTTCAAGCAATTCAGAACCAAAACCACCGTCTCAGCTGAAGGAAATAAGTCATTACTTATCAGCTTTAACATATCAGCCAAATTTTGTTATTGGGACGGTAACAGCCGATACCGATATGGAGGCCGATATATCTTGCATCCCTTGTAGAAACTCTGTTTTCCTCTCCCAAAAATTCAAGGTAAGGATGTTGAGTGGAAGGTAGAAACTAGAGACAATCATGCGCCTGTATGAAAATTTTGTCTGATACCGATAATTCTTTAGATTTGAAAGCCGATAACCGATATATTAGCTGATAAATCTTATCGGGTTGAAAACAGCCAATACCAATATGGTGGCCGATATATCTTGCATCCCTTGTAGAAACTCTGTGGCAGACGCCTGTATGAAAATTTTGTCCGATACCGATAATTCTTTTGATTTCAAAACCGATAACCGATAATTCTTTAGAATTGAAAGTCGATAACCGATATATTAGCTGATAAATCTAAAACCCACATTTTTTGAGAGCCTAATTATAAAAACATAAATCTCACCATTAAAAGCCATGTCTCAAACACACAATTATAATGTTCTTATTATAATTTTATGTAGCCTAAATGACAGATTTGCTCTGAATATGTTGCACTTTACTGTATTTTTACTCTCTTTAAGTGATTCTAATCATATTTCAAGCAATTTAAAACCATCATGTTGAACAGTGTGCATCTGAAGCGTCTCAGCTGAAGGAAATAATACATTACTTATCAGCTTTAATATATTAGCCAAATTTTCTTATCAGGACGGTAACTGCCGATACCGATATGGTGGCCGATATATCTTGCATCCCTTGTAGAAACTCTGTGGCAGACCCTGTGTGGCAGACGCCAGTATGAAAATTTTGTCCGATACCGATAATTCTTTAGATTTGAAAGTCGATAACCGATATATTAGCTGATAAATCTTATCGGGTTGAAAACAGCCGATACCGATATGGTGGCCGATATATCTTGCATCCCTTGTAGAAACTCTGTGGCAGACCCTGTGTGGCAGATGCCAGTATGAAAATTTTGTCCGATACCGATAATTCTTTAGATTTGAAAGTCGATAACCGATATATTAGCTGATAAATCTAAAACCCACATTTTTTGAGAGCCTAATTACAAAAATATAAATCTCACCATAAAAAGCCATGTCTCAAACACACAATTGTAATGTTCTTATTATAATTTTATGTAGCCTATATGACAGACTTGCACTGAATATGTTGCACTTTACTGTATTTTTACTCTCTTTAAGTGATTCTAATCATATTTCAAGCAATTTAAAACCATCATGTTGAACAGTGTGCATCTGAAGCGTCTCAGCTGAAGGAAATAATACATTACTTATCAGCTTTAATATATTAGCCAAATTTTCTTATCAGGACGGTAACAGCCGATACCGATATGGTGGCCGATATATCTTGCATCCCTTGTAGAAACTCTGTTTTCCTTTCCCAAAAATTCAAAGAAAGGATGTTGAGTGAAAGGTTGAAACTAGAGACAATCATGCGCCTGTAAGAAAATTTTGGCCGACACCGATAATTCTTTAGATTTGAGCAGATAACCGATATATTAGCTGATAAATCTTATCGGGTTGAAAACAGCCGATACCAATATGGTGGCCGATATATCTTGCATCCCTTGTAGAAACTCTGTGGCAGACCCTGTGTGGCAGACGCCAGTATGAAAATTTTGTCCGATACCGATAATTCTTTAGATTTGAAAGCCGATAACCGATATATTAGCTGATAAATCTAAAACCCACATTTTTTGAGAGCCTAATTACAAAAACATAAATCTCACCATTAAAAGCCATGTCTCAAACACACAATTGTAATGTTCTTATTATATTTTTATGTAGCCTATATGACAGACTTGCACTGAATATGTTGCACTTTACTGTATTTTTACTGTTTTTAAGAGATTCCAATCATATTTCAAGCAATTCAAAAGCAAAACCACCGTCTCAGCTGAAGGAAATAATACATTACTTATCAGCTTTAACATATCAGCCAAATTTTCTTATCGGGATGAAAACAGCCGATACCGATATGGAGGCCGATATATCTTGCATCCCTTGTAGAAACTCTGTTTTCCTTTCCCAAAAATTCAAGGCAAGGCGTGACATATCAAACTATTTACAGATTTGTAAATGCACACTTGAATGAACACAATTCATTAACATCACATCTAGCATCAACATTTTAAAATGATGACAGAGTGTCTATCTCACCGAGAGAGATCTTCTCTCCTGAGTCGGCCGGCAACAGGAAGACGAGTAGAGCCAGAGTGGAGATGAGCACACAGGGAATGAGCAGATTCAGTCCGTAGTACAACGTCCGTCTCCGCATCACCACGGTGAATGTCACGTCTGGGTACGGCTCCTTACAGCAGTCGTAGAATTTCTCATTCCTTCGACCTGGAACCTCTGAGTTACAGATAATTGGTAACCTTAAAGTTAATGTTTTGTGCAATGACCATTCAAAGCTGTTTCTGGGCTGTGACTGTCACAAGGTTTAAGGTCAGTGCACCAATTCTTAATATCGCCATAAATTCAAAGTGTAATGTGATAATGTCATAGTTAAACAACCCAGCCTCTCCCCGAAAGAAGTAAACTTTAGCAAACTTAATAAAAAAAAAAATAGAGAGTAGGGTACAACAGGGCACACTAAAAGGCACATTTGACTTTATTCTTTTAAACCACTAGACGTTTTGCTGAATGAAACTAACCCACATTCAAGTGTTGATAATAAATAAGAATGCATGAATCTACTGTAGAATAAATAAAATTTTCGTTTTGCATATTGCATGTTAAAATGCTAGAATCAACTTTAGCATGTTAGTCAACATATCAAGAAAGTGTAAAGCATCTTTAAACTAGGGCTGTGAAACGATTAATCGCGATTAATCGCATCCAAAATAAAAGTTTGTGTTTACATAATATATGTGTGTGTAGTAGTGTATCTAATTATTTTGTTCATATAAATATACACACATGCATGTATATATTTAAGAAAATGTGTTATTAATATATCATGTATAATATTAATTTTGTATAAATATTTATAAAGTATACGCATGCAAATATTTCTTAAATATATACGAGCATGTGTGTGTATTTATATGTGCAAAATAATTATTCACACTACACACACATATACTATGTAAACACAAACTTTTATTTTGGATGCGATTAATCGTTTCACAGCCCTACTTTAAACAAAATACATTTTACATTTAAACTTTTAATTTTTAAACATTATTACAAAAGTGCACGTCTTAAAGAAACAGACATGAAAGTGCACTCTAAACAATGCTGGGTTGTTTTAACCCAAAATTGGGTAAAATATGGGCAAACCCAAATGTTGGGTTAAAAATTCTTCACTTTCACTTTCAACTGTACATTACATTTTTAACCCAACATTTGGGTTTGTCCATATTGAAATAACCCAGCATTTTTTAGAGTGTAGCTTTTAATTGTATTAATATTATATTATCTACAAGTATCATTTTTTAAAATAGATTTTAAGGGCACTTCTTTTTCACAAGGGAAGTGTCAGTAAGGAAAGCAATAAAATACCAAATTACAACATGCATCATTTTGTTTTACAGTACATCACCTTACCCACAAGGTCCCACTCTCCATTAGCGATATATCCTGTGATGTCAGCATCAATCATCTGCAGGTCCAGAGACCACCCGCCATACGTCCAGGAGCCGAATTTCAGATCACACCTCTGAAGGTCAAAGGGGAACCAGCGGACGTCGATGTAGCAGGTGCTCTTGAATATCCCTGTGAACATTAATGTGATTTTCAGTGGAGGGAAATCATTCGGATCTTCATCTGAGAGCACTTTAAGCCTGACTATAATAAAAAAACCAAATGCTTATCATTGATCATCACTACTATTATTATTATAAAATTACATCTCATGCAAAAATGTGAAAATTCGATTTATGCGAACCATAACAGTGATGAAAATGAACATTTGGGGAACTGTTCAATGAGGCGGCTGCCACAACGTAAATTGAAGGTGGCAGTAAAGACATACGCTTGTAATTTAGCTTGGATGCTTCAGTGCTTTCATTCCCATAAAGCATAACTAGGCTTCTGATAAAGCTTTGTGGAGGTTCAGGAGAAGGCAATCTCTTCAATGTCACCACTTCGATAATTTACTGCAAAGTCACTGCCAGGACTACATCTCCTCATAAATCAAATGTCTACCTCAGGTCGGGATAGAGCCGGCTCCAGCTTTCACGGCAAGAAACAAGAGGAGAAAACTGGAGGGGAATGCTGAACGGGCAAATCTACATTCACATCAAAGAGATTTTCAACTCTTTAGACATATTTAGCTTTCCATATAAGCCCAATTAAAGGAGTAGTTCACTTTAAAAAAAAAAAACTTTTGCTGATAATTTACTCACCCCCATGTCATCCAAGATGTCCATGTCTTTCTTTCTTCAGTCGAAAAGAAATTAAGGTTTTTGTTGAAAACATTCCAGGATTTTCTTCATATAATGGACTTCAATGGGAACCAAACGGTTCAAGGTCCAAAAGACACTTTCAGCGCAAACTGTTCAAAGGGCTTTAAACGATTCCAGACGATGAATAAGGGTCTTATCAAGCGAAATGATCATGCATTTCAAAATTAAATAAAAAGTTTAAGTTTTTTAAGCTCAAATGCTCGCCTTGCTCTGTTCTGTGATGCGCGTTCGTGACTCCTGTTCAAACTCGTTCATCAAAATGAGCGAATCTTTTTTCGAGTCATTTGGTAAATTCAACGAACAAAATGAACGAAATGACTCGAAAAAAGATTATTTTCCCTTATTCATCGTCTGGTGTCGTTTGAAGCTGCACTGAAACTCTCTTTTGGACCTTGAACCGTTTGGTTCCCATTGAAGTCCATTATATGGAGAAAAATCCTGTAATGTTTTCAGCAAAAGTTTTTTTAAAAGTGAACTACTCATTTAATGGAAATTAACTAAAATGTGCACTAGGTAACTTTTGGCCAATACAAACGTGGTTTTGGATTTCATTTTACTGACACTTACTGATGTGGATTCAGCATCATGCTAAAGCAAAGTATTATTGCATAAATGTACAATTTGTCAAACATGATTATTTGTCACTAATAGGCATATACATTTTACTTCCACAATAAAAAATGCGTGACTTTACAGAGTTTAGCCTATTTTAGTGTGTTCACATTTGTCAAGTTTGGCTCCACACACTTGTTGGTTCGGTCAGGACCAAAAAAAAGAGTGAAAAAAAGTTGTTTTGAATCTTTAGGGTTGGTGTTAAAAATGACTGTGAATGTTAAGTGAACCAGGACTAAATCTATAGCCTATCATTTTCTTCTTTGGTCCGGATCAAGAAAACCAAACTGTAAATGGGAACACATCTTAAGTTGTGACATTGTTCATTGTGACTTTACCCCTTATTCTAAATTTAGCCATTTTATTTGTTCATTCTGAGCTTGAAATGGGTGTCCACAACAATCAAACTGTTATATATTTTTTATATTTTAGATTGAACAGTACCTGGCGGGAGGTATTGGCAGGCACCAGAGGAGTTGACCAGCACATTAGTGTGAAATGTGGCGTCGAACCTTTCATCGGCACTGTGGAGAACACAAGAATCATTTCAACTAAAACGAGCACAAGAGTGATTTATGAACATCTCAGGGGAACACTTTGGAGAAGTCCAATACAATGTAAATGCAATTTCCTAACAGCTGTAGTACAGGATTTCTGGAAAATGTCAGATCAAAATTGCCTTGCAGTTCCAATTTCTCAAATGTGTTTGTCTAAATTAATTCTCATCCACATAATGGAGGCATGTTCAAGAAATCCCTGAGGAAAACACCATGTTTGTCCAGACCAGTGTTGGGTAAGTTACTCTAAAAAAGTAATTAATTACTAGTTACTAATTACCTCTTCAACAGTGTAATTAGATTACTGTACTAATTACTGTCTTTAAAAAGTATTTAATTACTTTTAATTACTAATTACTTTCAAAATCCCATATCAATCTCAACCGGCTGAATAATACAAGCATAGACATGAATCTGTTTTAATTCTTTCAAATAAATACTATAAAATTGCATGAATTATCCTTAAACTGACCAAGGTGGAGAAGGTTACATTATAAAAACATACTTTTTAACATCAGATACATTTTGATGTTAAACCCAATATTGTTTTATGTCTGATCTCATGACACACTTTTTTCATACATATTTTACAATAATTCATACGAATTTGTACGAGTGTGGTCGTACAATTTAGACACCTCATAAAATGCATAGGAAGCGCTGTGAGATTGGATTGATCTATACACAGTATTTACCTCAATTACATCAGAAGTAACTGTAATTAAATTACAGATAATTGAAGAGTAATCCCTTACTTTACATTTTCAATGGAAAAGTAATTAAATTACTGTAACTAATTACTTGGTAATTAGTTATACATGAAACATGACCACGAATTATAATGCATAAATTCTGTTAAGAATTATTTTATGGAGCACTGGTCCAGACCAACACAACCAATACATTAGAGCCCGACCGATAAAGGATTTTGAAGGCCGATACCGATGCAAATATTTGTTGGTTTTAAAATCCGATATTCCGATATATCGGCCGATATTTTTATTTTATTTTATTTTTTCCACAAATACGCAACAAACAGTAACAGATTTCCCTAACATTAGTTATTTGTATTTATTTATGAGTTTTAACTAAAATAATATGATGATGCATTTTAAAAAAAACTTGATTCTTTTATTGTCACAACAGAACAGAGGAATATCAAAATATATTAAAGTTCTGATAAATAAAATAATAATAAGTCCCTACATTGCCTTATAAGCTACCTGCAACACTCATGACATGGTTGAAGCGTGTTTTGTCCATTTTAATTTTATTTTTGAAATATTCATTTATCGGCCATTATAACTGCCGATACCGATAGTTTGGAAAATGCCTAATATATATGTCGGTCTGCCGATATATCGGTCTTGCTCTACAAAAGATAAATCAAACGAAATTGCAACTTTGCACCAGTGGTCAAATTGAAATTGAAATTTGGTTCAATTTGACCTCAAAGTAGAGGCGGATTCTGCATTTTCTGTGGCAGATTCCACTACATCTACTCCTGCTTTTCCAGACAGGAACAAATGAGGCCAAACCTTTTTTCCATGACACAGTGCAAACTCACTAGCTTACACCAGCACATCTTTCCAGGCAATTTACCCCTCTTCGAGAAGTCCTTCATGTACAGGATTTACACTTGAAAAGCTACGTTTGGTTTTTAGTGATACGTATGAATTTTTCGATAACTCCCTGTGTGAAGAACAAACCTGTTATAAAGTAAGATGTCAGGCTTCCAGATCTGACTGTCAGGGAATCTCACATTCGTCACTCCAGGATATTCAGAGGAGTTCCACTGAAGATAGTAGTCATACCAGTACTAAAATACAGAGACAAACTGCAGATCATATAATGCACACGACGTCAAACTTTAAAATGTGTGCTTGGTGCAAACTTGAATCTGAACCCAGATCTCTTATCAAATGCCCTTCAGAATCTAAAGAGCTTAGGACATAAATTGAATTGTATACATGAAACATGACCACGAATTATAATGCATAATTTCTGTTATATTTTATGGAGCAAAGTCAAGGACATGCTGGGATCTAACACCGTTAATAAGGTATTCAAATTCATTGGCACACCATGCTTGTCTCATCGCAAAATGTAGAGAATATCATCGCTCAGCTCTAATCTGCTAAGTGTGACAACAATGCATTAAGATTTTATGAACATTAAACATGGCTTTCTTACGGAGGCGTATTGCATTCACTTGAAGAAAAAAAATCTACTCTGTTTTTCTGAATTAATGAGTTAATTTTTCATGAGAAAAAAAAATGCTCTGTTTTTCTGAAATAATGAGTTAATTTTTCATGAGAAAAAAAAATTTGCTCTGTTTTTCTGAATTAATGAGTTAATTTTTCATGGATTTTTTTGATTTTGCTCTGTTTTTCTGAATTAATGAGTTAATTTTTCATGAGAAAAAAATATTTTGCTCTGTTTTTCTGAATTAACGAGTTAATTTTTCATGGATTTTTTTTTGCTCTGTTTTTCTGAGTTAACTTGTTTTTCTGAAAAAAAAAATTTTTCTCGTGAAAAATGAACTCGTTAATTCAGAAAAACAGAGCAAAAAATTTTTTCTCATGAAAAATTAACTCATTAATTCAGAAAAAGAGCAAAAAAAAAAAATGTTCTCATGAAAAATTAACTCGTTAATTCAGAAAAACGGAGCAAAAACTTTTTTCTCACGAAAAATTAACTCATTAATTCAGAAAAACAGAGCAAAAAAATTTTCTCATGAAAAATTAACTTGTTAATTCAGAAAAACAGAGTAGATTTTTTTTTTCTTCAAGTGAATGCAATACGCCTCTGTACTTTCTGAAATAAAATGTGTATTGTGAAAGCGTTTGAAGTGTGTTATTGTCTTACCAGCTGCAACCAAATGTTGGTTGTAAGTACTTGGTTTTTCTCATCCTGTAGATGGACAAAGATGCACTAATAAGATAAAAAAACACTTCCAAGACATGTTTTACAATCATAATTTGCATAGTCTTAACTCTTCAGACACAAGAGTACACTTTAGCATACTGAAATAATATACTTAATAAAATATATAAATGAGAATTGGATGTAATGTTTTGAGACACTAAACTGCACATTAACTGCAATTAAATGAAAATATATAATAGTTTATTATATTATATGTTTTAAGTTATCTGGCCAATCAAAACTTAATGTTACTACAGATTGAAATATGTTAAAATCAGCTGAAATTATAGATGTCATATTTAATAAATGAAAACAGGCTGCCAGGGATAAAAATATGGATTATACTGTTGTTTAAAAGAATACCAGTTGTTTAGCTGATGAAACATCTTTCAGTATTGACAAAAACTCCAATGAAAGAGTTGAATGATGGGGAAAATTATGTAATTATAAACAATTCAATGGTACATCTGGGTATTCATTTTATACATTATACATATTATAAATCTCAAATATAAAATGCAGCACTTTTCTTAAAAATCACTTCTGAAATTGGACTGATACATTAGGGTGACCATATTTTGATTACCAAAAACCAGGACACTCGGCCCGACAAACAGATATACTCAAATGATACTCGAAGTTTACTCAAAGATCCCTTATTAAAGAAACTCTTAAGGTAGAAAAGAAGGGAGTTTCTACATTAGAAATAATCACCATATTTATAATAAAACCATCATATTGGACTGCTTTCAGAATCCTTACTTTGTTTAAATATTGTTTTTTTTTTCCAGTATTTTTAAAATGAACATTTTAATGCCGGTATATTTTAACAAAAATGAATTATTTTATTTGTCAAAATAGCCAAAAATAGTACACACTTTGTAAAAAGTTTTAACTTAAGCATTAAGTTAAACATTATTAAACACATATTATTTTGGCTAAAGTATTTGTATCAATCCTGTGTGTGTGTGTTACTGTGTAACTGTGTAAGTCTGTGTAAGTCTGTGTAACTGTAAGTCTGTGTAAGTGTGTAAGTCTGTGTAAATGTGTGTAACTGTGTATGTGTGTAAGTGTGTAAGTCTCTATAAGTGTGTAACTGTGTAAGTCTGTGTAAATGTGTAGCTGTGTATGTGTGTAAGTGTGTAAGTCTCTATAAGTGTGTAAGTCTCTATAAGTGTGTAACTGTGTAAGTCTGTGTAAATGTGTAGCTGTGTATGTGTGTAAGTGTGTAAGTCTGTGTAAATGTGTGTAACTGTGTATGTGTGTGAGTAAGTCTGTGTAACTGTGTACATGTGTAAGTCTGTGTAACTGTAAGTCTGTGTAAGTGTGTAACTATGTATGTGTGTAAGTAAGTCTGTATAAGTCTGTGTAACTGCGTAAGTGTGTAAGTCTGTGTAAATGTGTAAGTCTGTGTAAATGTGTAAGTCTGTGTAAGTGTGTAAGTCTGTGTAAGTGAGTAAGTGTGTAAGTGTGTGTAAATGTGTAAGTCTGTGTAAATGTGTAAGTCTGTGTAAGTGTGTAAGTCTGTGTAAGTGAGTAAGTGTGTAAGTGTGTGTAAATGTGTAAGTCTGTGTAAATGTGTAAGTCTGTGTAAGTGAGTAAGTGTGTAAGTGTGTGTAAATGTGTAAGTCTGTGTACAAGTTTGTAAGTCTGTGTAAGTGAGTAAGTGTGTAAGTGTGTGTAAATGTGTAAGTCTGTGTAAATGTGTAAGTCTGTGTAAGTGTGTAAGTCTGTGTAAGTGAGTAAGTGTGTAAGTGTGTGTAAATGTGTAAGTCTGTGTAAATGTGTAAGTCTGTGTAAATGTGTAAGTCTGTGTAAGTGAGTAAGTGTGTAAGTGTGTAAGTGTGTGTAAATGTGTAAGTCTGTGTAACTGTAAGTCTGTGTAAGTGTGTAACTATGTATGTGTGTAAGTAAGTCTGTATAAGTGTGTAAGTCTGTGTAACTGCGTAAGTGTGTAAGTCTGTGTAAATGTGTAAGTCTGTGTAAATGTGTAAGTCTGTGTAAATGCGTAAGTGTGTAAGTGTGTGTAAATGTGTAAGTGTGTGTAAATGTGTAAGTCTGTGTAACTGTAAGTCTGTGTAAGTGTGTAACTATGTATGTGTGTAAGTAAGTCTGTATAAGTGTGTAAGTCTGTGTAACTGCGTAAGTGTGTAAGTCTGTGTAAATGTGTAAGTCTGTGTAAATGTGTAAGTCTGTGTAACTGCGTAAGTGTGTAAGTGTGTGTAAATGTGTAAGTGTGTGTAAATGTGTAAGTCTGTGTAACTGTAAGTCTGTGTAAGTGTGTAACTATGTATGTGTGTAAGTAAGTCTGTATAAGTGTGTAAGTCTGTGTAACTGCGTAAGTGTGTAAGTCTGTGTAAATGTGTAAGTCTGTATAAGTGTGTAAGTCTGTGTAACTGCGTAAGTGTGTAAGTCTGTGTAAATGTGTAAGTCTGTGTAAATGTGTAAGTCTGTGTAACTGCGTAAGTGTGTGTGTGTAAATGTGTAAGTCTGTGTAACTGCGTAAGTGTGTAAGTCTGTGTAAATGTGTAAGTCTGTGTAAGTCTGTGTAAGTGTGTAATAATGTGTATTTTGCCCCATGCTGGTTCTACCCCGTGTGTGTGTGGGGTAAAAGGCCCTCCTCGTCACCTCATACATTAATACGATTGTTAAACAAACACACAGACAAACCACTTTTATGATTAATGTTCACACAAAATCTGTTGTGACTTGTGATATATAACCTGCTGGCAGAACACATTTACCAGGATCATCCTAAAGCATCATTCATGGTCATGCTTTATCCGGGAATATTCAGTGTTTCATCTCTCATTACAGAATGAATAAACTTACCACGTCCATGATCTGCATGAGACTGAAGGTGAAATACACAGTGAGTGAGTGTGTGTCATTGAACACGGGTCTCTCCAGTGGGTTATAGTCTTTCATCAGGTCTCTGTAGAGTCTCCTCTGATGCTCTCCCTGAAGCGACACTGCCAGAGAATGAATGAACAGTGTGACACGGTTGCAGATTCACTGCGAGCGAATGAGACGTTCAAGAGAGAGAGAGAGCTGGCGAATCAACAGAGACATTCAGACGAACTCGTATTGATCTGAAACTCTCAGCAAAGCGTTTCTGCTGGGTTTGTTTCAGTGATTAAATCTCCAGGACCGATCAGACTCAAGCACTTTCCTTAAGTAAGCTTTAGCTATTTTTGTTGCCAGATTTGGACAGCAAACTTAATCAAGATATTCAGGGTTTTTTTTTGTAAGTTAAAGGATTAGTTCACTTTTGAAAAAACTTTAGCTGATAATTTACTCACCCCCATGTCATCCAAGATGTCCATGTCTTTCTTTCTTCAGTCGAAAAGAAATTAAGGTTTTTGGTGAAAACATTCAGATTTTCTCCATATAATGGACTTCAATGGGAACCAAACGGCTCAAGGTCCAAATGAGAGTTTCAGTGCAGCTTCAAAGGGCTTTAAACGACACCAGGCGATGAATAAGGGTCTTATCATGCGAAACGATCGGTTATTTCAAAATTTATTCCAAAAATGTAACTTTTCTAAGGACAAATGCTAGCCTTTCTCCATTCTGTGAGGCGCGTTTGCAACGTCACGTAATACGTAATTACGTTCAAAAGGTCACGGGCGACGTAGAGTCAGAGTGTTTACAAGTTGAACGCGAAAACTAACTCAAACGCCGTTTACAAAAAAGGAATTAAAAGGTAAAACAACGATGTCGGACGATTTTGATTCTGTACTTCCGGCTACGTCGCCCGTGACCTTTTGAACGTAATTACGTATTACGTGACGTTGCAAACGCGCCTCACAATATATTACAAGGCTAGCATTTGTCCTTAGAAAAGTTACATTTTTGGAATAAGCTTAGAAATAAGTGATCGTTTCGCATGATAAGACCCTTATTCATCGTCTGGTGTCGTTTGAAGCTGCATCTGAAACTGTTATTAACTGTCGTTTGGACCTGGTTCCCATTAAAGTCCATTATAAGGAGAAAAATCCTGGAATGTTTTCATCAAAAACCTTAATTTCTTTTCGACTGAGGAAAGAAAGACATGGACATCTTGGATGACATGGGGGTGAGTAAATTATCAGCAAAAGTTTTTTTTTAAAAGTGAACTACTCCTTTAACTCTAGCTCAAGTTCATTCGCCGCCATCTCTCATCTAGCTAAGCTATCTTTCTCCCAGTCACAGTGTAATTCACTTAAGATCACATAATGTAATTCCACAGAGCGGACATCCAGATTACGTCAGGCTTTTTCTTTATTCCAGATGCACCTGTTATTCACCAGAGATGAAAGACCATAGTGTGCACAAACACAAAGTGTCCGGTGTAACCGCATATTCAGGGGCACTAATGGAAGTGCACTCAAAGACTTGCTGAAAAATGGTAACAGATCGAGACCCTAATTATACAGCAAAGCCATTGCAATTACAAAAATGAGGACAAACTAAAGCAGATTCATAAAGCAGACGCATAAACTTGCAAATTAAATGCCAACATAAACATTTGATCAATATTCTGGCTTGTATAATAATCAAAAAAAAACAAACAAACAAAAAAATATTATAAATTCAGGAGACATTTACTGTAACTCTGTAATCAGGAACTATTATTGAACATAATTCTACACAGCTCACATATACTCAAATGTCCATTAGGTTTCTTACCACTCCATAGGCAGGCTGTGGTGGTCAAATAAAGAGTATATTCCCAAATCCCCATGTTCCTATCAGAATTATTAACAAAAATATTATTATTTTTTTATATTTGTGGTCTATAATCTCTCGGCATCTCACAGGCAGAAGTGATAGAGTCTCAAACAGCAGCATCAACAAAAGAGCACTAAGCTCCGCCCCCTCCAGCTCTCTCTCTCTCTCTCTCTCTCTCTCTCTCTCCCTCTCTCTCTCTCTCTCTCTCTCTCAATTCAGTTCAAAATTGCTTTATTGGCATGACTGTACAATACCGCCAAATCTTTGGAATACATAGATTAATTGTACAATAATTAATTGTACAAATTTACAGTAAAATAAATCTCTCTCTCTCTCTCTTCCCCCTCGCCCTCTCTCTCTCTCTCTCTCTCTCTCTCTCTCTCTTCCACAGCTCCTGGTACCGCAAGATTTGGTGGGAGGTGTAGAGCAGAGACTTGTCTGATAGATTCGGCTGCTCAGCACTTTGAGATCAGGCATCATCATTTTTGCTCATTAAACATGAAATTAATAGCAGTTTTGAAAAATCTGTTTTTCATGGAGCTGGTTATCTCACGCGCTGAAAATATGTGTTGGATTTAGATGATTTAATCATGTACTGTACATGAGGTAATTCAAAGTTAATGAATGAAAAACAAGCTTTTAATGTTGCTATGTTGTGTTTTTAAAGGAGAACTCAGACGCAAAATGAACCTTTGGTCTAATTACACATCGACATCGGTACCTCGTCGACCGTTCTCTGAGATTTGTTTTCATGATAATCGAATGTAAGCTCTAATACACCAGTATATGGGGGCATATAATAAGTTGAGAGCAGAGGTGTAGTGATAAAATAAGAGGTGGGTAAACTAGCCTATAATTTCTGGTGGACCACGACGTGGTCAGGTAAGGTGGGCCAAGGTGGGACCCTGATGACATTGCTGTATTTAGGGAGGGCTCGACATAAGCCTTTGCATTTTCATAAGTAAATCTCCAAGTAAAAAAGTTGCTCGTTCAGATTTTTTATTTTTATTTTGTGTGTGTTAATTTATTCTGAAACAATTATTCTCATCAGTGCTCAATCAGCTTTGATATTTAAATCACCATTGTAATATCTGCACCTTTAAAGGGCACTCCTCCCCCAATATTATTAAATGTATGCTTCATCTTTCACCTTGTTTTGATCAATAATTCGAAGTGTTTCGAATAATAAGACATTATAGGGATGTTATCCTAGGGGCTGACCAAATTAAATCATTCAGCTACACTGAAAAATTACAATTGCATAAAATAATGTTATGAAATTTATTGAAATTTACATATAAGAAACATTGGAAAGAAATTGAATGATCATACTTTTAAACATTTAACACTAAACCACCAGTAGGTAGCGGCAGGCGACCGTAATGAGTGAGTCATTGATTAATTCATTCAAACGATTCGTTCAAACGGCTGATTCATTCAAGAATGCGACATGTTCATGAACGGGTCATTGAATCTTCGATTCATTCGATTCGTTCAAAATGGTGAATAACTTGCTCCTGTGACATGCGGTGTGGTTCTGCTGTGATTTTTGTTTGGAACTATTTTTGCTGCTGAAACACAACAAAAACAGCAATTTTTGCATCTAAAATGTAAGTGATTTAATTTGAACTGAACACATTTAGATTTTTATTGGCAGTATGTGTGCGCTTATTTGTGTAGATTTCTGCTCGAGGCTGTGCGAGAGTCAACAGTGCAACCGTCAGTTAGTCAACAACACTGACAGTAATGCAGCGCAAAATGAAAGAGTTCGTTTTAGGATTAACAACCTATGAAACAAATAATGAACAATATGAAACCAAAACGAAAATGTTTTAGGAACTACATGATATTTAGAGGTGGTGTACATAACTTTGGAGAACTTTAGTGTGAAGACCGGCCATCTTACAAAATAGTCTCGATAAGTCAAACCACGAACGTCGTGCTGAGTGATCTGAACTGTATGAAGTTCAGCGAACTTCGAACGGCGTTCGGGGATCGACTTATCGAGACTATTTTCTGAGATCGCTCCTGTCTGAAGTGAACTGTCTTATTATTAAAGGGTCTGTACACTTACAAAGTTCTCATGGACCCTCATTATGTTACTGTTTTACTGTGGGGCTATTTTGATCCTTGTTAGTGGTATAAACTAGCGTTTTCTTTTTACTTAGTCAATGCCCCCAGTACTAGCATTATACGCTAAACAGTTTTTAGAGATAAAACTCTTTACATTCTATTATCATGAAAACAACCAGAGTTCTCCTTTTACAACTTTAAAGAAGTTACTAACTAAAAACTTAAATTCTATTTACAAAAGTCTTTCTTTTTTCCACGTCTGTTCAGCTGTCCTTGAAGATAACCAGTTTGATTGTAAAAAAAAAAAAATAGATAAAATAAAATGCTTGCAATGTGTGCTAATTGTTCAATAACGATATGGTTGGCTCACAGGCTAAGCATTTACATATCTGAATGTGCAATCATAAAAATGTCTGTCATTGCATCATCCCATGAACCAAACATACTGTAATTTCTCAACAAAAAAGACTTAACTCAAAATGAAATTTTCTTTTAAATTCTGTTACACGATGTTAACGACGTTCTCAAACAGATACTGTTTGGTCCCACTTTATAATAACCATGGAATAACATTTGATGCAGTGCACTTATCATATATAATAGGCTATTCTTGTTACAAAAGTGTTTAGTTAGATTGTTAATGCGATCCAATTTCTTCCACAGAGTTACTGAAGCCCATTAGCTTTATAGGAGCCAATATTTTCTAAGATAAACAGTAACAATACCACCAGTATCCAGCAGAGGGAAGTATCAGACTGATGATACCAGATGTCAAGCAGTGACCTTACATGGAAAACATGATGTTTTGAACCCTTTTTAAAGTCCCCCTGTGGTGGAAATCCAGCTTTTAATGTAGTTTACATGTCTATGTGATGTTTTTGATATACTTTAAGACATTCGTAAGCCTATTTTCTCTTTAAAACTGCAGTGAACCAACGACAGTCTCAAAAACACGGTTTGAAATCGCTGCTGTTTCTGACGCCACAAACGACGATCAGATCGTCGAGTGATCGTCGTCAACCAGTGGATCTCTGAGGTAAGTGATTTGCATATTCATTGAATATTACATTAATTTTAGGGCATGGAAAGGAAAAAAATGTTTAAATATGTAAATTTGATGATCAAAGATGAGTTTTAAGGGATACAACTATTTACTACTGGAGACTCTAAATTTTCAGAGGAAAAGTTTGTGTGGATCTTCTATATCAATTTATTCAGTGATTCTGCTGATTCAAATGTTGTTAAATATCTGACATTTAAAATGGTTAAATATCACAAATCAGAGGTAAAAAAATCTTACATTTATTACCGTTAAAACGTAATATACACACACAACTACATAGTTAGCGTTATTAAGTTTTTATTTTTGATTAAAAAATTAGTTCACGTACCTCATCAACAATTAAAGCTGCCTCATGAGTGGAATATTTTCATAATAAACATAATTTGTGTCCAGTAAATAACTAAAATAAAACTTTATTCACGTTTACTCTATGGCACATTACATTCCCCTTTTCATAAATGTACATTTTTTATGCTATGTAGCTCATGTCTTGTATTGGTATTTTTGTGTACACTTGATTTCTACTTTATTTTTTTTGTAGTATTTTTTTGTTCTATTATTAAAAACAAATTCTATAAAAAGATACTGAAGATGAATGTACCATTTATCCCTGCTATTATAGACTATGACAGGTTCTGTTCTATGGAAAAATACAGTAAAAAATGTAATAATTTCTTGATGTATTCATTTCCATCACTCATTCTGGCTTTGTAGTCATAGTAAATTTGTGTTGTAAATGAGGAATGAGAGTGAAAGCACGAGTCTCTGTCCCACGCTGAGTGTGTCATCTGCACATCTGTCACTGTACCTCCAGATCCCAGTCAAGTTATTTACCATGCACACACACACACACTTTAATATGTGTCATTATGCACACAATTCCTTTGATACGCTGTAACATTCAGCATGTTTTCCTCTTCACAGGGTATCCGAGTACAAATATGCAAGGGATCCGAAAATAGAGAGAAATTGTGTCTCCGAAAATGAAAAAGTTGAGAAAATTAGTGTAAACAGTGCAATTTATGACTCCAACAGTGCCTGTTGAGGCGTATAGTACTTTTAAACTTGAAAAACATGTCCTGGTAGAAACACATATTATGGAAAATTCCCTCGTATTAAAATGGTACATTGGGACATACATTTTTCTTAGTGTGTACAAAAAGTGCAAACATTAAGTACCAAGAGGATGTAGTTGTTCATAAACAGGATGATCGGTGTAAATTGTTTGGTTGGAAGTATGTAAATATTAATTGGACGTTCTGAAAGGCAGTTGTAAATCTAACATTTACATAAATTCTTAAACAGGTTGAATATGAAGAGTTCAGATGCAAAAGCCTCTAAGTGCCATTTGAAATTTTCTTCTTGAATAATGATTTTTATCAAACTTGTATATTTAAGTTCAGTGATTTCACTTAAATGGCAATGATAATTACCTATTAATTGTTATTTAAGTGAGATCACTGAACTTAAATATACAAGTTTGATAAAAATCATCATTCAAGAAGAAAATTTCAAATGGCATTTAGAGGCTTTTGCATCTGAACTCTTCATATATTTAGGAGACACAGCTGATTTTGCATAAAATTGTTGCATTATATTACTTGAGTAATCTGCACTATTGTAAATGGCACATTTAAGTATATTTTACACTGTTTAAGTGCTATAACAGTTGTTTGTTCATGTCTATTAATCAAAGTCTTTAAAAGGCTGCGTCCAAAATCTCTCTTGAGTAGATGCCTACTAGTGTAAATAAGTTATTAGTTCACAACTGCAAACAATATATGTTCTATATAGAGTAGTATGAATGTAATCCGGACATACATTCGCCGTGTATTAATTTCCCTTTCTTTTCTTCAAGCACTCCCGTGGCCTTATGGGATAGTAAAGTGTCCATCTTATGTAAGAATGACACCTAGTGGTGGAAATAGGTACTGCAGTCCAATTCAAAATATCAGATATCGTAGT